GGCTAGAGTGGAGATGGTAGCTATAACAACGATAGTTGTTGCATGGTAGTAGGGGAGGTGGGGATGGGAGTTGTGATGATGACAATATTGGTATGGTGGTCAATGGGGGTGGGGGTTGGGATTGTAGTTGTGATAACAACAATAGTGGCATGGGTAGTCAGGTGGGTTGGGGATGATAGCTGTGACGATGACAGTAGTGACATAGTTGTTAATGGTAGGTGGGGGGGGGTGACGGTTGTGACGACGGTAGTGGTGTGGTGATGGGTGAATGATGGTGGAGTGGTGTGTAGACGTAAAAGTGAAAGTAGTAGGGGTAGTTGGCGGTTGTGCCAATGAATTCAAGTGGTGTGGTGGCCAGGTAGGGGTGGGCCAGGGGGTGGATGGTGTTGGTTAAATTGGATGTAAAAGTTATTTGTTTTTTTAAAACCAAATTATAAAATACGTTACATTTAACAAAAAAGGTCAACAATGAAATCTTTAATCAAATGAATTATAATGATTCTTACATTTTCAATATATGAACCAAACAAAGAAATCCCTTGAAATCCTTTAAATTTAATGATTATGGGTTCACTTTTTTTTTGGGGGGTTATTGGAGAACTAGCACAAAGTCGATAACAATTAAAAAATATTTCAAAAATTACAATTTATTATAAAAAAAAATAAAGATATATTTACATAGATGACATCTTTTATTTCAGTTTTCTTCCACTAATTTATTTTTGTTTCATTTTTAATATTTTAATATTCAGGTTAGCCCATCAGCATTGGTCCATTTCTTAAATTGTGATCCACTATCAGAGACCAAAGCCCATGGCCCATAATCCATATCAACCAAAAATCAGATGGACCATAATAAATAAAGCCCATATATACAATCATCCAGAAGCCCATATCCTAAATTTCCCTTGCCTTTCTTTTTAAAATTTTGATGGTGTATAAAAACTTGACCAAATTGTTGATCTGTTCAACCTAACCTGAAAAATAGACAAGCTACGGGTGTTCATGGTCCACTAAAACCCAATAGCGGTTTATGAAAAATTTCAAACCAGTCAAACCGAACCACAAAAAGATGGTCTGGTCTGACTGGTTTAGATGGTTTTAAACTACAAACATAACATCTATGTAAAAATGAAATTTCTAACAGTATAACATTATTAAAAAAAATAGTATACTGAATTTATAAAAGAAATGTATGTCTCTAACATTAAAAAACATTGAGCAAGTTGAAAGAATGTTAAACAAGTCCACCAATAATGGTTAAAATTTTGGGCAGATATTGAGCAAGTCGAAGAACGATTCCAAGTTTTGGATTTAATTTTTGACGAATTTTGAAATTTTGTTAATTTAGATAACACGGTCAATTGAGAACTGAAAACTAGAAATGCCTTTGACGATTTTTTTTAATTGTGCCATAAAAGTTGGGGCTACAATATGAAAACTAATATAATTATACTTTTATATTTTGGAGGTCAGTTTGATCTAGATCTTTAAAACCCCGCAAACCAGATCAGATAAGATCGGAAAGTTTGGCTATTTCTCAAACTGGACTGGATCGTCAGACCGCTCAAACTGTCAAAAACGGTTTGACTTGGTCCGACCTATTTGAACGGTCCAACGGTTTTGGGGACACCCGTAAGACCAACTAACCAAACTCAATTTAATATGAGGTGTAATTTGGTTTTTGAAATATACAAATCGATGAGAGTATGGTAGGTTTTGGGTTAGTTTCATGTCAAACCAAACCGACAATCAGACAAAAGCATGTCGTCCGTTGAATGATAATCTATTAACAATTTAATATTGTAGCCCATTGAGTGCTCCAGACTCCTATTAATCCAACAGACAACATGAACAAACTCAAAACTAGGGCAACATTAGAGTCAAAGAAGATGAAACCGTCATAGATTGAGTGTGTCGTTTTAATTTAATATTCTTATCATAATACGTATATTGACACTAACGTTTAAACAATTAGACGTAAACTTGGACAACTCTAATAATTTGAGTGGTTATGTATCAACCACTGATATTTTATTTTTTGGTTTGAATTGCAATATTATCTTTTTAAATATTACGTTCAAACAACGCAACCCAAACCAATATGTAATGGGTTATATTGATCAAATGGTCTCGAACCGTTTGCCTAACCCAACCCATATGCATCCCTACTTCCTATTTTTGCAAGAATTGCGAATATATTATATCATATTTTTTCAGGTATTTATTTATGTTGTTTTCTCCGGTCTTTTTTAACTAAGGAATGGAAGGAAAACAAATTCTTATATTTTCCCATTTTTAAAGAGGAAATGAATTTATTCAACTTTTAATTAAATTAAATAACATAAATCACGAATAACAGTGTTAAGAAACCCAACATGTGTATCAACCGTATCAATTAAATTGATACCAACTTAATCAGTACCAATTACAATTGGTTGGTAGTATTGTACCAATTATGCAAACTTGGTTGATACACGACAGTGAAAGTTGCATACTACAGTAGTGCCATTATACCGATCTATTCAATTATTTGTTAGTTTTTAAATTTTGTATGTCTTGAATATTAAACTTTGTAGCTTTAACTATTTTGTTTGAATATTTGAATGTTTGCAAGTTTTTATTCGTTACAATTAAAAACCCTTAAACTTAAAAACTCAAATAGTCACTCAAAATTTGAACATAATAGCACGTTCTCATATATATATATATATATATATATATATATATATAACTTGAAGTTGGTACAAACCGATACCAACCAAAAAAATTAGTACCAAGCAGTACCAATTATAGTTGATTGATACACCATATAAAATTTTATGTACCAATTATAATTGATCGATACAGATACCCAAGAAAAAAACTTGACACCGTACCAAGCCATCACCGACTCCACAAACCTAAACCTTCTTAACATGGTACGCACATTGTACAATTTTCAAAGCACAAACACAAATAAAATCCAAAAAAAATAGCATTAAACCATGGCTGTCCAAGCAAAAGCAAAAGCATAAAAAGGATAGCATGGGCCAGACGCTATTTTAGGTCCTTTTTGTTTTTACCATTTTCATTCATCCATTATTTGCTGAATCATTTCCACATCAGATGAATAATTAAGACCCACAATCATATCTTCTTTTCTTTCCCAGAATCATATAAAAAGTTATGGTATTTAGTTTGAAATCATCATTCTAAGTGTTGTGGTTCAACAAATATGCACCAGATACATCAACTATAAGCAAAATCAATATGCATGACATTTCTTCCTCAAATCCACAAGAAACCCATTTCATTGCAACCCAAATGATTCACCAGAAACCCATTTGAAACAGATGAACAAAGTATCAAATCTGCAACCTAAAATGTCTCAAAATCGGTCGAATGGGACTTTTCCCACCAAACAAAACAAGAAACTGTATCAGGCTCTTATTACCTGCTGCTAACACTATCATTACTGCCTGATTCCATTTCATATTTAACACTATCATTACTGCCTGATTCCATTTGATATTTGTTAGCTTTTCACTGCAAGAAAAACAAATAATTTACATGTATAATAATAATTGAAAGAAAAGCTACAAACTTTGCAGTGTGTACTACAACGATATTAATATTAATATACCTGAAGGCTTCATCTGATATTTCTTTTACTGCACCATCAGAAAGCTTTTGTACAATCTCTTCATATGACCTAAAAGTCAACAAGTCTCAGCCCAAACTCGGACTTTTCTTCTTTGAACCATGGACCAGATGAGGTTTCAACTGGACCATTTTCAAGGACCACTGAACCATCAGAGACACCGGACCAGCTCTCTGATAACTGTTGTTCAGTCAAGATTGGCTGACCAAACAGCACAAACATGGGTTTTTTCTTATCTTTTTCTTCGTCATCATTGTTCTTCTTCGAGCAGCTGTTTCCTATGGTTAGCAAGCAAGAAACGTTTTCTTTCGTTGTTTCCATGAATCTTCTCAGAGGGTCATGATTCAGGATCCCAGATGGGAAAGACTGAGTTTTGTTATATTGATCAGATCCAAATTGAGAATTATGCCTGGCTCCCTGGATGCTAGTGGGAATGGGAATATTATTGGATGTGATTGGCAGTTGACAAAGGGGGAAATCGGGAGGTTGAGGGATTCGGAGCTTCTTTCTTGGAGGTGAAAAGGGTGAAAGATGAATGGCAGGTATGTTCGACACCATTTCAACCAACCATGGGCTTACTCGCTTCACATTTTGTAGCAAATCAGGTTCATCCCATGATACCTTAATCAAATTCACGAAAGAAAAACATCAAAGAAATTTACTAGAAGTTTCTCAATATGTTGAAAGAACCGAATGGTCTTAATCATAATAGCAATATAAACATTTAAGGAGCATGAATGATGTAAAAGATATATACAAGAAAATGATGGAATTTATACCTGGAGAAGCCTCCATGGAGAATTAGGCCAATGGATTTGATCATGGACATGAAGAGAAGAAATGGTGCCCATGAACCAGCTGATTCGTGATGAATCCTCTGTCTCAAAAGCCATCTTGAACCTCATCCCAGGACACCATTGAACCCTCATTGCAGCCTTGACAATCGAAGCTCTTACGCAAAACTCTGGAGTGCTTGCTCGTGGGTGGTAAAAAACCTCAAATGGCTGACCATTTACTGCTAGATTTGCAGCTTCTATCACAGATTCAACACTATATTTCCCTTTAGGATTCCTCAACACCTTGTAACTCTCCCCAGAAAACCCACCACCATATAGAGAGGAATCAAGAACACCCCTTTTTGCCCTACGAATTCCAATACAGAGTTCACCACTATCGGCTCTAAGAAACACAACAGAATCCCCAGCCACAAGCTTTTTATGGTTCACAAAGTTGCTCCAACCAGTGGTCAATAGATGGCGTCGTGGTGTCCCTCTGTAAATATGCCTAAACTTCCAAATCTGGCCATGAACGTCCTTGGCCAATATGGTCTGAACCGGTGGATCAGCCGTGTAATCCAACCTGGGAAATATTGTCTCAGCACAGTACCTGGGTACAGAGAATCCTCCACCATTGTTAGCATCTGATTGAGTCAATGTCTTTGCAAAAGATGTGGGATTTTCTTCATTCTTCTTCTTGTTTTGATCAAACCCTAAAATCCCATTATCATCATCATCATCATCATTCTGATTTCTCAAGGGAACAAGACCAATCTTAGCATAAACCTCATCTGTGTCCGCATCCGCCATGAATCTGAGGGCAGAAACTCGACACAGAATGAAAGATGGGATTCGTGGGAAATCCCCAAAATTCACATTCCCAGAGGCAGCATGTTCAGCATGGCCTTGAGGAAAATAGAAAACCTTGGAGTTTAATGGCGGCATTTGTACCATCCCACCAGCACAAGCATGCCATAACTGAGAATCCAAGCATTTATCCCCTTCATTCATGGGGGGTTTCACATAATTCATCACACTAATCATCGTCCCCTTAATCTAGAACACGAGAGAAGGCTGTAAAACCACAACAAAAAAAGGAATAAGTTTATGCAAAATCCACAATTCTCAAGCACACAATACAACATCAAACAATAAAAATCCCCTGTTTGATTACACTAGAAAATTCAACAAACAAACAATATATAACTCCTCACCTATTACAACATAATTTTGATTTTTTTAAACTAGTTTAATTACCCTCCTCCTAATTTATTAGAAAGAGGACACAACACAAAACAACAAAATCGCGTGTTTGGTTGCTATAGAAGACAACAGAAACTTGAGAATTCCCAAACAAAAAAAAAAAGTCCCATCTTCTGATCTATAACCACAAAACCATTGATTTTTGAAGTGGGTTGCAGCCTAATTCCCATAATTTCATGGCAATCAAAGAAAAGAAGATAAAACGAAACATACCTAAAAGCATGAAAAATGGAGACAGTCAAATCCAAATCTTCATAAAATCTGTTGAAATTTGGTTTTGAAAGTAGAGAGAGAGAGAGAGAAGTGAGTTGTGAATGGGTTAGGGGCAGTGGAATTTAAGGGAAAACAGGAGACAGAAACGGTCAGCTGAAGCTTGGTTGCCGACCGGACGGTGGGATAGAACAGACAAATATGGATCCTGGTTTATGCGCGCACACACACACACATAGATATACGTATATATATATATATATAGATAGATAGATACATACAGAAATAGCGAAAGAGAAGGTTGAGAGATAGAGATGACTTCAAAATACCAGACCTCCAACTATTTCGCTTCCTTCTCTATATACTTTTTTATTTTAAAACCAAAATAAAACATATATCAATTTCTTTTTTCTAAATATATATATTCTAATAAAATATAACATTTTAATTTATTTAGAGTATACTAGAAGAGTACTTACGTAGTGTAATGAAATAAATATTGATTTTAATGTTTAGTTTTTATTTTTTGTCTCTATCAATATAATACGATTTTATGTGGTTTTGAGAAAACGATAATGTTTTTATTTTTAAATAAAATATAAATTTGAAAATACTATAAAATTTTGAAAAAAAAAATGTATCGATATCAGTATCAAATTAATCTTTTTAAAAGTTCTTATGTTTTGATGTAATTTCCTTAATTCAATTTTTTTAATTATAATTTAATTTAGGTTTAGTTAAAAAGAAATTTAATTTAGRTTTAATAATATAATTTTTTATAAATATAATAACTAAAATAGTCTGTTAGAACTGAATGATTATTCTAATTATATTTTAGATTTTTTATATTTAAAATGAGATATTTATCTAATATTTGATTATATTTATCCGCAGTTAGTTACACGAATTCAAATATGAAACTTTAATAAGTTATACTTATACACAATTTACTTATAATCTTAAATTTTAAGTAATATGGATCAATAAACAGTATTTCGTGTATAAAAAATGCTTTAAAATATAATATAGATTTTATAATTTATAAAATATTAAATATAATTATTAATGTAAATAAAAGTTTTTAAATTCTATAATATATTTATTTTATTATTTTTTAAATAGTAAGAAAAGGGTGTTTTTGTAAATATCAATTACACTTTCTAAATGTGAATTCAATCAAGCAAATGAACAACAAAGTACTTGAGAGTTTTTATTAAAACCCTATCTAATAATTGTTCCATTTTCCATAAACAAAAAATAAATAAATTCAATTTTCAAATCACAAGACATGCGAGATATGAACAAATCTTACGGGTCTTGTTTTGACCCGATTAATGTGGCATCTTGTTGACTCTAACACTTAAAAAATTCAACTTATTTTTATTTAATTTAATCAATAATTATTAATTTAATAACATTTAGATATATAAAGAGAGAAAAGTTCAAATGAAAATCGATTTTCGATTGTGAATGAGGGGATAAAGGAGAGCGCGACACGTGTCCTCGACGTCCACATTCAGTATGAATAACGATGGTGAAGTTTATGAACTATTTATCATAAATGATACATTATTTATGATGAATAACCCGTGAAGGTGTGAGACACGTGTCACACTCTCCTTTATATCTCCGTTTACAAACTGCAAGTCAGTTTTTATTTGAACCCGTCCCTACATATACATATATATATATATATATATGTTCATTAATAATTGTTTTTTAAACATTCATTAGAAATTGTTTTCATATTTTTCTTTTATATATTATAGATATTAAGTAAACATTATTTTATAATTAAGCATCGAACTAAACATTCATAAAACGATAATATGTGATTAAGAATACAACAAAATGTAAGAGATATAGTTTCGTGTTTGCTAAAATATGAAGTTGAATTAAATTAATTATGGAAACACGAATATAAAAATGGAAATGGATTTGGATGGGATTATATGTCCCCAACTTTGTGATTACCCCCAAATTCTAAACAATATACTTTCATATGTCATTTCACATCCCAACCATTTTTGGTCTCTCACTAAACTAATATTATTTCTCTTTTATATAATATATATATATATATATATATATATATAGGGGTGCTCAAAAACCCAACCAACCCGATTAACTCAATCCAACCCAATCCGAAGCAACCCGATGTCTAATCGAGTTGTAAAATTATCAAACCGTAGGTATTGAATTGATATTGGGTTACTATTATTTGAACCTAACCCAACCCGATGAACCCGATATTCTTTTATTTATTGGATTTAATATGATTGTTGAATTTCTATTAATATATACATTAGACAATTACACTATGATGTATGCTTTTCATATATACATATTTTTAATCTATTTATATCTCTATATAACTCATTCAGTAACTGTAAACATATATATATATATATATATATATAAATTGAGAAAATTAACTGAATGTGATATACGTAAGAAATATGAATAAGTTGTATCAAATGGTTGATGATGAAAATGAAATTATGAGTAGAGAAATAACATATTCAAGGTTAGAAGAATATTTTATTATACCAAAGTATCAACCCGACCAACCCGTACGGGTTGGGTTGGGTTGGGTTGCACTTTGGTTTAAGTTGAGTTAAGATTTTTCCAAACCACAAGCGTTGGGTTGAGTTGTTCATATGTCCTTAACCCGATCAACCCAACCTATGAGCACTCCTATATATATATATATATATATATATATATATATTAATCAATAATATATAATATTATATTCGATCACATATTGATACACTCGTGAAATAAATCAGAGATGCATACACATTTGACACAACCTAGGTAGTGGGATAAGTCGCCCCTACACTATTAGGCTCTCTCACGTGTATTATCAAATGTGATAAGAGAATCAATTACATGTAATACTAAATCATAGATGTAGACAACCTTTGACACGATCTAGGTAGGACATGCCGTGCACACCACCAGATCCCCTCACATGTTATGATAATATGTGACAAGAGTGTTTTTGTAAAATGAAAGTGTTCTCGTTTGAACCTCTAACTATATATGTAAACTTATGATCATGTGAGACCATACTGTTTCTGTGAGACCTTTGAGACCACTTAAATAATGTTGAACCTTCCCAACAAAATTACTATGAATGTTTGTTTTTTGCTGTAAAGGTTCACTGTTATTTCATACCTCCACAATGAATTGCTATGAAGTTTCAGTGTTATTTTGTAGTCTCATGGGTCTAAAAAAACAGATTGCTCTCATTTAAACCCAACCCTGTATATGTATATATATGGAGGCTTAATCATTTCAGAACTCCTAAATTTATGAGATCACCGAGAACTTCTACCTTAAAGTTTTGCTTCACATAATTTTTTTTCCGTCTAAATATAGTATTTAATGTATTGATTAACATATATTTATTTCACAAACATGAAACATTTTTACATATATTTTTTATTTCACAAACATGTCAAAAGGGTTCACATTGTGAACCGAGTACATATAAAACAAATATATATTAATCATTCTAAATCCTAATTTTACATTAAAAAAATCATGTGAAATAACACATAATGTATAAGTTTTTAAAGTTATCATAATTTAATAAGTTTTAAAAATAAATCGAGGAAGGATTTTATTTGAGAAAGAATAAAAGTCAATAAGTATGAGTTTGCAATGAGATCCAAATCGAAAAACCAAAAGTATGGGATTAAGAGAAAATCCAAAGTACGCGGCTGCCGATTAATATTAAATACTTTGAAAATTTTTTTTTTTTTTAATTTTATAAATAAATAGTTAATGGTTTTTTTAGTATCATAAACATATAAATCAATAATTTTTTTATTGGGACCATCTAATTCTTTCTATATAAAGTTATTGCATGTATAGTTACCAATTTTTATCGTAAATCATGTCAAATATATTATAACCAACACATTATTATTCAAATGCATATATAGAGATTAGTTATTATTTAACTCTTTATATTTGTATAACCAATACAACTTAATCGTAATCATTTATTTAATTTGATAAATATGTGATTTTATAAAAGTTTTGATTGTTTCCTAATATAAAGTATTGATCATAATTAATGAACCCTAGTCATCTTTCATAAATATTCAATCATAATAAATGAACTCTCATTATTTCCATAAATATCTCAATTAATTGGATTGCATTGGTTGTACAAATGCGATGAGTTGTATTTGAAACGTCATCTCTTTCTCTCTCTCTCTCTCTCTCTCTCTCTCTATATATATATATAGGGGCTGGTTCAAATAGAAACCAACCATATGGTACAAAC